TTTGCTAAGTACCATCTTCTTCACAGGACAGTTCATAAGCTTATATAAAAACACATAAATTTTGTGTACATTTATTCTTATATATATATATATTACATTTATATGTATTGTTAATATTTACATATATACATTATACAAAATGTACACATATTTTCTGTGTTTTTATATAAGCTTGTGCACTGTCCTGTGAAGAAGATGGTCCTTACCAAAAGACTTGGAGCTGGGGCTGAGCCTTCCAGTTTGACCTCCAAGTTAGCCAAAGCTTTGTCTAAGTCATCCAGGCCAGATTCGCTGGACTGCTCCACAGGGGTGGCGTTCAAGGAGAGCTGGTTGATGCGATACTAAGACAGAGCACAGATGATACTTAGGCCCGTTGTAGGTTTTCCAGCCCTAAGGCACAGGATAACGGTGGTTGAAGGCAGGGGTAGGCTGCTGGGGGCTTGCGAGGGTCCGGGAGAGCCCCCTGCGCAGTTCTGGCTTCCAAAAAGCCTCCTGAGCCCGGGGAGAGCAAAAACATCCCCCCCCCACTGCAGTGGTGCAGGAGGCCAACTAGGCCACGCCCACCATGGCCACGCCCACCCAGCAACCAGGCACCGAGCCCTTTGCTAAAATATTTTGAAGCCCACCCCTGGTTAAAGGGTATTTTTTGGGGGGTTGGGGGGTGCAAAGGCCGCCTTACTTGTAAGGCGGCGAAGACGACCATCTCTTCCTCCGTGCAATCGGTCTCCTCCAGCAGCACCGACCAGCGGGCCTGTTCGTACAGCTGGTTGATTCTGACCGCGTCGTACTGCAAGGCAGGGAAGAGAGCGGTGAGGCAAAGCAGCGGTGTCAGGTTTTAAGGTTCGCCTCGGTGGCAAAGGCCAGCCGTTCGGGAAGCTTGGCTTCCTCTCCAGGGAGCGCCCTGAACGCAGAACGGGCAGAATGAAGTACGTATTAAAAAATACGGGAGGGATAGAAGAGAGTATTTGTAGCTTTGGACTTTGCAATGTCCTACCTGTCAACGAATACTTCAGCTTCAACCAGAACAACACAAGAGGAAACAATGGGAAGGTGGAAGAGGAGGTGGACTGTAGGGTGCCTGGTGGTCTCTGACTTCGGCTGACTTCTTACAAATATTTCATTATCAAACTAAATAATAATATCAGTGCTACTAGGCAGCGGGGTTTGTTCTCACAATCAAGAATCAAACAATAACCCAATCAGGCAACTACCAACTCAGACAAAGGAACTAACAGTAAACAGCAGCCCAATCAAGGAATCACAAAATCCATTCCCACCAAGACTGACAGGACAGGCCACACATATAAAAACAGAGAGCGAGTCCCTTTCTTTTCTTGCCCTGATGATGTTATCTAGTTGGGTCACAAAACGCCTGCAAGGAAAACGCCAAGTTCAGAGATCCCCCACCCTTTAAAATATGACAACTATGAAGTCAAGACCCAAAACCTTCTTTTCCAAACACAGCCTCGTTGTGAACGGGGAAGATTGTCCTTTTTTTCCTCTCGCACAAAAAGAGAGGAAACGCAATTCCCACATTGGCAGGAGATAAAAAGATTTGCAGTTCTGTAAAAAAAAGCAGCTCGGGGAATCGCTTGTATTACCCAACACTGTTGAAACCATGTGCTTTCTGTTCCCTTTCACAAGGATGCTATGTGCTAAATATACTCTGTGTGTGTGTGTGTGTGTGTGTGTGTGTGTGTGTGTGTATATATATATATATATATATATATATATATATATATATATATATATATTCCCCCTTTCAGATATGCCTCACGCTCTTCCCTAGCAACCGAGAGAAATGTTGACAAATCACATCTTAAGTTGACTGTGGGAAATAATCTTAGAAATGGGAAGGAAATTTTGAAAGTGCTGTTTTCAAAGTACACACATACACACACACACACACACACACACACACAAAACCCCCACCAAATTGCCACACAGGTGGGCCTTTTCCCTATCGTCAGTGCTGAAATCCAGAACAAAATGTATGAATATATTTGAATGCTTTCCCGCCTGGCCATGAGGACTAGAAGCTTTGGCTTGCAAAATATCCCCTTGTTGGGTCATCTGATCGTTGACTTGAGCGGGGATTGATTGATCCTGGATTGTTGCAAGAACAATTATACCTTAGATAAAGGGTGGGCAGTTATGGCCCCTTTATGACCATGCTGGCTAAAGAAAATCTGGGATTTGGAAGTCCACAAGTCATAAAGGAGCCACAGCTGCCCACCTCTGCCTTAAATAAAAGGAGCAAGTGGAGAAATATACATTTGAAGTTCCCTAAAATAAGTACTATGTATGTATGTTTGTATGTATGTATGTATATATGTATGTTCACCTTTGGCTCCAGATCAAAAAAGCTGTAATACTTGAAGCGCAGCCATAAACACTCGTGTTCCTTTACTTCTTGTTGTAGCAAAGTGCGGGACGAATCCAGCCACCTAAAAAAAGGAAAAGGAAAGAAATCAAGAATTGGCTACCGTTAAGTACTGTAAGTACAGACAGTTCTTGACTTACAACTACAATTGAGCTCAACATTTCTGTCGCTAAGCAAGGCCGTTGTGCTGAGAGCTTCACCCCGTTTTACGACCTTTTCCCCCCACAATTGCTGAGGGGATCCCTGCAGTTGTTAAGTTAGTAGATTCATAAATTTATACATAGCCCCATGTATGATCCAAGGCTTTATAAGATAATCATGAAAATACAGTTAGGTGTAAATACACAGACAGTTCCAGTGCTGAAATAATTACCAGATTTTTTTCTCATTTTCCCTACTTATATTTTAAGAATAGAGTAGAGTAGAGTAGAGTAGAGTAGAATAGAATAGAATAGAATAGAATAGAATAGAATAAGGGATAGAATAGAATAAGGAGTAGAGTAGAATAGAGTAGAGTAGAGTAGAATAGAATAAGGAATAGAATAGAATAGGGAATAGAATAGAATAGAATAGAATAGAATAGAATAAGGAATAGAATAGAATAGAATAGAATATAGAGAAGAACAGAATAGAATGGAATGGAATATAGAAAAGAATAGAATAGAATAAAGAATAGAATAAGCAATAGAATAGAATAAAAAAGGAATAGAATAGAATAAAATAGGGGATAGAATAGCATTCTTTATTGGCCAAGTGTGATTGGACGCACAAGGAATTTGTCTTTGGTGCAAATGCTCTCAGTGTACATAAGGAAAATAAAATATATTCATCAAGAATCAAAAGATACACTACTTAGTAATACTCATAGGTTACTAATAAGCAATCAAATCATGCTAGAGAACAAATAAAACAATATAAATTGTAAAGATACAATACGGTTACAGTCATAAGTGGGAAGAGATAGGAACTAGGAAGTGTTATTATAATCTAGTAGTAGATGAATAATAGTAATACAGTCTTAAAAAAGAAGTTGACAGTGTTGAGGGAATTATTTGTTTAGCAGAGTGATGGCGCTGGGGGAAAAAAACTGTCCTTGTGTCTAGTTGTTCTGGTGTGCAGGGCTCTATAGTGTCGTTTTGAGGGTGGGAGTTGAAACAGTTTGTGTCCGGGATGTGATTTAAGAATCTCTTAGACACTATTGTTAGAAAATGATCAAGGGGGGGCGGGGGGAGATTTGGCTAAATTGGGATGTGTTTAGTGGTGAATCCTTTTGGATTTAATTCCACTGTCCTCCTGCAAACATTTTGCTGTAATTCCAGCATGGAGTAAGGCAGACCCTATCAGTTTATGAAAAGGAACCTTTTAAAAACAACAGAACCTCCACCTTCAGAACAAGGTAGCTTTCCTTACCATCAGGCAGAGGGAACAAATGGCAACTCAGGGGGGCCTGGGAGATGGACTGCGAAGCAAAATCCATTCCACACTCCTCAAGATGCGACGAGAATTGCAATGCCAGGAATCGGGATTTAGCGCAAAAAAAGCAAAAAAAACCCCAGCTTTTTCCTAAATCGCATTTGCCAAGAAACTCCTCCACAAAGACCCTTGCTTACCTGCCGTTGATCTTAGTTTTTTCCACAAGGGATACCGGCCGGTGCATTCGGACGATCTGCTCGGGAGTCAGGCTAGTCTGGCTGACCGACAGCATCCGGTAGCAAGCCTCGGTTTCGGCGCTGTCTGAAAAGTGAGCAGGCATCCCACGGAAAGTCTGTTGCTCTGCACCTGGGATTACAAGAGAAGAGAGAGAAAGGATCAGGGGTCAGTGTCCAGCCCCAGGTAATCCTTTGTTCAGGTGAATACAGGTAGTCCTTGATTTACAACAGTTCATTTCGTGACCGTTCCAAGTTACAACAGCACTGAAAAAGGGGACTTATGATCAGAGGTGGGATTCAGTCAGTGAGTGCGCACTTTGCCCAAACCAGCTGAATCCCACCCCTGCTTATCATCCTGTCATGCCCCCTTTGGACTCTGAATCTGAGGAGGAAGGCGAACAGCTGACAGGGAGTGCGAGTGTGGCTCCATTGGCTGTGGAGGAAACTGGGGAAGGGCAAAGTCCGACTGGGCAGAGCAGGGAAGAGATAGAACAAGGGAGAGGAAGTTCAGAGGAAGAGCCAAGCCCATCCCCTCTTCATCCTAGGGCACACAGGGAAGAATGGAGCAACGTGGGTTGCATGGCTTACGGGGGAGGAAAGAGCCCTGATTCCCTTCATTAGCCACATCTGGGAAGAGAGTTTAAAAGAAATGCATGCTGAATACGGCAGCTGCTGGGAGCAAACGTGACTTTATCTTGTGTTGATTTTGCTTATCTGTGTTCCTGGCATCCTCCCAACTGTGTGAGTTATTGCCGTTCCTTAGGTCAGTAAACGAACTGTTGTAACTCTATATGTGTGCACACGAAAGTTGTGACAGCCTCACTTGCTGGTAGCCGGACGCTGGTGAGGTCATAACTCCGAGCCGTGGTCTCCTCTTTCTCCTTCTGCTTCCGTTTGTCCTTCTCTTCCGGCGCCCGCAGCAGGGACAGCTCTTCCGGGTGACGGATGGCTACAACAGGAAGTTAGCAAGAAGTTAGCTCACCCCTCCGCCAAAAAAAAACCCCCTCAGGTCTATTCCCAGACCCCAAACTAATCCTGGTTGGAGACGGGCAGGGTTGGAATCTGAAGGGAAATGGCTGCTTCATCTATTTTCTAGACCCGTGATGGCAAAACTATTCCACACAAGCAGAGGAGTTTCAGTTTCACAGCACCAAGCAGCTTCAGCACAGTTGAGCTAAGCCACGCCCAGGCTCCTTGTTGTCTCCTTACTCACACAGCAAATGCTGCATCAGTTTCCAAGCAGCCCTCAACTCTCTCACACACTGACAGGACGCTAGCCAGATGAATATTGATGGATGCTGGGAGTCAGAGGCAGAATTTTTTTCTCCTTATTTTCCTCCTCAATAACTAAGCCCAACCACATAGTTTTGTAGCATCCAGCTAGTGAGTAATAACGTCAAGTCCCTTTTTAGGATCTGGGATAGCATCGAACCGCTGTTAAGCAATTGGTCTTAAGTTGAGGACTACCTCGCCACCTGCTGACAGGGAGTGTGATTCCCATCTCTACCGCATGCTGTCCTTTCAGTGCCAATTCTGGAGCTCTAAACGACGTTCCTACTCACCGAGTAGCCTGCAGAGATCGCACACGGTGCGGAAGACGGGCTGGGCGAAATTAGCTCTGACGCGGACGGTGCAATGGTTGGGCAGGAAAAGGATCACCGGTTTGTGCTGGGGTGTAAAGTGGAGTTTGGCGTCGGCCAGGATCCCGTATTTATCCAGGCTCCAGTTTGTCTTCAGTAGCCAAAGTTTCTTCTGCTCCCACCACAAGGCGTGATCCGACCAGTCCTTCTGAAGTTCTGGAGAAAGGAGGCCGAAAGAGAAAACCCGTCGGGTTGGGAAAGCAACAGGGAGCAAGTCAAGGAAGCGTTTTGATCAGGGTTGGGCTTCAAAAATATTAGCCGCCGGTTCTCTGCCCCGTTGCTGGGTGGGCGTGGCCATGGTGGGGGCGTGACCTAGTCAGCCTCCTGCACCACGCCCCCCGGGCTCCCGAGGTTTTCCCTTGAGACTCCGGGAGGGTGAAAACTGCCTCCATGGGCTCTGGAGGTTGGAAACAGGTCCATTTCTGGCCTTCCGGAACTTTCTGGAGGCCTGTTTTTCACCCTCCCCGAGCCTCTGTGTGGGCCCTGTACTTACCTGGGATCCAAAACGGGCCACGTGATAGATTGATTTATATATGTATATACATATACATATACATACACGGTCTTGGCATGTTTGGGTCTTTTCCCATGTAAGATTGAGAGTATCTCAATCTTACTCTCAATCTTACACAGGAAAAGACCCAAACATGCCAAGACCCGCATACCTGTATCCATGAAAATCTATGAAAACACATACATATACATATATATATATATACCATATATATATATATATATATACCATATATACCATATATATATATACACATACATGCATACAAAGAAACATGCACACACTGTACATGTATATATTGCATAGTGATTTCTAACCCCCTTTCTCAGCTATGTGCCTTCCCAGTGGGTGAGAACTATAACTCCCAAGATTGTCCGTTCACCCACTTATTAGCTGAAGACAATGAGAGAGAAATATCTTTTTTTTCCCTCTTCACGAGAGAGGAAGAAATAACTTGTAAGAGTTGTCCTGTTTTTTTTTTTTCCCCTTTCCGTTCAAAGACTGTTAAAATAGATGCCAAAAAAATTAAGGAACTGCTGGAAATAATTTACTTCCGGGCCTGGTTATCATTTCTCAGGGTGTAAATGAATAGGATCTGCCTCTGTGGCTTCAGGAGACTATTTTCCATGGCTTATCTGGATAATGCAGGGGTCCCTCAAGGAGGAAAGGAAGAGACCGCAACTCTCGAGCTGAGTCACAGCCCTTCTCCAGCGCCGTCCGCCATTTTCCTTTCCTTCAGGCTGGTAGAAGGAAAATTTGAGAATTCTAACGGGATTCGTACTTCTAACTGGAGCGTGATTTCAGTCAATGGGAAAAACCCTATGGTGTAATACAGGCAAACCTCGACTTACAGCCGTTCAAAGTTACGGCAGACCCCCCTCCCCCAAGGGGCTTATTGATCCAGTTGCCAAATGCCCAAACACAATCGTGCCTACCGTCCCTCTCCTATTGTCCCCAATTATTAGTTCCTATTTCTTGTATTTAAATTTATGTTTATTCTTGTTTCTGTCCTAGTGTAAGCTTTTGACAAATAAATACAATTAATAAAACAAACAAATAAATAATAAAAATAAAATTTTGTTCACGTAACCACGGGGATGATGCAGTCGTTGGAAATAGTTAGTGCTGTTGTAACCCCAAACAGTCATTAAACAGATGGTGGGTATGTTGAGGACTATCTGTATGTACACTGAGAGGCTTACTTAATTTTGAGGGGTCCTTAGTGCTCTCTAAACTAGGTGGCTTTCTTGCAGATGTTCCTTGATCCAACTAGGGAACATCATCAGTGCTAGAAGGGAGCAGGGGTTTGCTACAAATCACCCTTCTAGGACTGATGATGTTCCCTAGTTGGGTCAAGAAACGTCTGCAAGAAAACCACCAAGCTCAGAGACCCCCCCCCCCCAAAGCACCCCTTATTTAAACTACCAATATTCTCCATTATTGCTACTTACTTAATTTGTCCACAATCTGTAACATGATGCCTCCTATATGCAGGTTCCCGGTGACTCGGAGCGTGATGGGGTCTGCTTCAGGTCCCAGGTCCTCCACGAAGACCCTGAGTTCCCAGGAGTCATCTATATACTCGCCGCTCGCTGTTTTTATGCCAGCCATGGTGGTCCTTCATGGAGAGGAAAATGAAGGATGAAGAGGTAATGGGGGGAAAAAAATCAGATCTCTGATGCAGCCGTCTTTCCCAACCTTGGCTGCTTTAAGATGGGTGGACTTCAACTCCCAGAATCCAAGCATGCTGGCTGGGGGATTCTGGGAGTTGAAGTCCACCCATCTTAAAGCATGCTGGCTGGGGGATTCTGGGAGTTGAAGTCCACCCATCTTAAAGCATGCTGGCTGG